TCGGGGAGCTCATCATCCAGGAACAACTGCTGAGTGTTCTGCCCTCTGATGTAAGGACCTGGGTGAAAGAACATGAGCCTGAGGATGGTCTGACTGCGGCAAAGTTGGCTCTACAGTACATGAACGCACGGCGAGGAGGAGCAGCACGTTTCTCCAACCCTGCACCACGACCTGCTCAACCAGCTGGACATCAACATTATGCCAGAGAGCTAAGCCAGGAGGTTAAAGGTACCACCAGTTCTGTGAATCAACCATCTCATGGTAAGCCACTGATTTGCTATTGTCAGCAGCTGGGCCACAAGGCTTCAGTGTGCCCAATAAAGAAGACTAAGTTTACTGGTTCCTGCTATGCTCCTAGAACTGAAAATCAGGCTGGAGTCAAAAACTTTGAAACTAGAACTCATAAAACTGACTGTGAATGGACAGCAGGTGACTGCATTAATGGACAGTGGTAGTTCCACATCACTGATAAAAGAGACTCTTGTACCTGTTGGATGTGTGAACTATGAAAAGAAAACTGAGATTTTGTGTGTGAATGGAGATTGTCATGTTTATCCAAAAGCAGAAGTGACTGTCATTATTGATGATCAACCATTTGCTAACCGTTGGTGTGGTGAAAAACCTACCTTTTGATGTCATTTTGGGTACAGATTTACTTGTGATGTTTCATCTTTTGGGAGAAGTACAAACTGAGGGGGACAAAGTTAGCAATGTTTCCTGTCCTGTGATTACTCGTTCTCAGGCCAAAGAACAAGTTGGGTCTTTACCTGATTTTGATGAGTTTGTTTGAGGTTTCAAAGAGGTCTAGAAAATCCAGAAAGCAGAAAAAATTTAGAAAAAGTTAATGCTGAGTGGAAATGTGTTAACAGATTTAACAGTAGATGACATGTGGAAAGCACCTGAAAATATTGATACTTTACAGAAACAGGATGTGTCTTTACAACCTTTGTTTGACCGAGTGAGTGAAACGACTGAAGCTAAGTGGAGTGGGAGAGAAACTTTTTTGATAAAAGATGGTGTATTGTATGCCTGTAATGAAAAACAATGGTTAGTTCCAACTAGCTGTAGGGTACTTGTAATGCATTTAGCACACACCAGGGCACTTGGGGCGTCACAAAACATTTATGCGTGTCATAAATGACTTTTACTGGCCGTCAATATACAATGACATTAATACCTTATGTGCTTCTTGTCACACATGCCAGAAGACTCGTCCCGTTTGGAAGTCAGATCGGGCGCTCCTCCAGCCACTACCTGTCATCTTCACTCCTTTTCATAAGGTTGCAATGGACATTGTTGGACCCCTAGTGAAGAGTGGCTGTGGTCATCAGTTCATCCTGGTAGTATGTGATTATTCCACCTGATTTCCAGAGGCTTTTCCACTGCATACCATTACTGCTCCTGCAATAGTTCAAGCTCTGGTCCAGCTGTTTCAAGAGTTGGAATCCCAGATCAGATTTTGACAGACCAGGGAACTAATTTGACCTCTAATCTCCTAAAACTCTTTCATAAACAGCTTGGGATCTCAGCCATCAGGACGACGCCTTACCATCTGCAAACTGATGGACTGGTTGAAAGGTTCAACCAGACAAGGAAGAGGATGCTGCAGAAGTTTGTAAACGACACTGGCAGAAATTGGGACCGCCGCTGGTTACCATTCCTTCTCTTCGCCGACAACTAGGACCCACCACCTATGAAGTCTACCATCCTGACAAAAAGAAAGCTACACAGACTTACCATGTGAACTTGTTGAAGGAGTGGAAAGAACAATCATGTCCAGCTCCAGAAACATCATGCCTGTTGAGGTCAGTGGAGGAGGTTCCTGGCATTGAAGTCATGGCTGAACAGTCAACCCCCAATCTCAGTAACTTGACCTCACATCAAGCCTCACAGCTTCAGCAGATCTTCCAGAGACTGTCTCCTCTCTTTTCTCCTAATCAAGGTGGGACCACCTAAATTGAGCATGCAATTCGACTGAAAGAGAAACAGGCAATTCATCAACGCCCATATAGAGGTCCACAACAGTTGGTGGGGCAGCTGTGAGATGAAGTCGAGACCATGCTAACATCAGGTGTTATTGAACCTTCAAACTCTGAGTGGTACAGACCAGTAGTCATTGTGTGCAAGAAAGATGGCTCACTACGGAGTTGCATTGATTTCAGAAAGCTTAATGCAGTTTCAGAGTTCGAAGCCTATCCCATGCCCAGGGTGGATGAGCTGCTGGAAAGGATTGGAAAAGCCAAGTTCATTACCACCCTTGACCTGTGTAAAGGGTACTGGCAGGTTCCATTGGAGCCTTCAAGCAGACAGTACACAGAATTTCGTACTCCTTCTGGTCTTTTCCAGTTTACTGTGATGCCATTCGGCCTGCATGGTGCTCCAGCCACCTTCCAGCGGCTAATGGACAAAGGGTTGCGAGGAAGTGAAGACTACAGCGCTGCGTACCGAGTGTTTTCTAATTGAGTATTATATTTTGATCACAAGTTTATCTATCTATCTATATATCTATATATATATATATATTTTCTTCTTGGTATTATTTATTATTATTTTGTTTACTTTAAGAGTTTACCTGAATTAGAAGTAATTGTTTAGTTGTTTTCGCTTGCTTGTTTTTTGCTGTGGGCGGAGCCTGTAGCTTAAAAGCAGGGCTTTGTTCCACTTTGAGTCAGTCTGTGGCTAGACTCCTGAGAAGTAACACTGAAAGTGATGAACTTTTGCACTAAAGGTACTGCTGTTTGTCCGTTTTAACCTGCCCTAGACGTCCTTTGTACATGTTCTGCACCTCTCTGATTTGTTCACCTGAAGAAAAGCTTAATAAATTTCACTAAAGTGATCTCTGGCCGAGACCAGTCGTTTATGTTTGACCAAGTCATAAGAGAACCCCGTCACATATGGTGTCAGAAGTGGGATTATGGCGAACGAAAGAAGAGGATCTCGTCTGGTGAAGCAAAGATCTAGTCTTCGATCACAATCAAAGATGAAAGAACAGGTGGCTGACAAAACATGGGAGAGCATATCAATGACGCATGGATCAGATGAGGAAGGTGAACCAAAACCTGGCCCCAGTGGATCAAGTGCGTTTTTCACTTTGATGAAGGACTTTATGGCAGGTCAGCAAAAGCGAGAGAAAGCAGGTCAGCAAAAGCGAGAGAAAGCAGGTCAGCAAAAGCGAGAGAAAGAGCTGCTGAAAGAACTGCGAAACCTTAGGATGTCCCTACAGCAACCACAGCAAGAACCACTTCCTCACCTTCAGTCAGGAGTTGATGCAGAACAAAGTGATGATGACGATAACGATGATGGTGATGACGACGACAGTGATCAAGAACAGGTGGCTGACAAAGCATGGGAGAGCATGCCAACAATTCATGCATATTTGAGGAATCGTTGAATCTATGGGATGTCTAAACACTTGTTCAAAGCGTTACCTATTTACCCAAAGCTTGGCCTTAGTTCCCAGCTTCGTCTCTGCTCCACTAGACTGGCGGTAGCAGCAATTAGCAAACATCTGGTGGAACTGCATTTCTGCTGAGCGTAGGAACTACATGGTTCTTATGAACGTTCTTAAGAACTAGGAACTAAACCATACCTAAGAACGCTTGTAAATGCCATCAATGGATGGCTTGAAGAAGCATTGCGTGATGACGTGCTGAAGTGTCAGAAAGGATAGGGGGTTCTTAAAGAGACAGGGGCCAATTTCAAGGTGTTGGATATAGCAATGATCAAAAGTCAAATTTCTTTTCAGTTATGTTTGATACAGCAAAGCCCAGAATATAAATGATTTTCTATGGTGGAAGGTACATCACAGTTCGAGTTGTCATGAACCTTGTAATTAGCATTAATTTCTCTGACTTTGGGGAGCTCTGGCATGGCTATCTGAATGGTCTTCTTTACTGCAGGTAAGATCAGCTGCTGTGGCTCTGCCGCTGAGTGGAACTGTGTAAAATGGTTCCTCATGTTTGACATATTTTAGATTACCAAGATAAAATGGTGAGGCTGCAGGATGCAGTTGAATGTCAGTTTAGGTGATCATTTTATGCTTTGTTCTGTTTTAACCTTCCTCAAAATTGCCATGCCATACATTAACAGGAAAGTTATCAAGTCTTGGTGTTTGTTAATTGAGTCAGAATCGTCAACATCTGGATAGATTTTATTTCCCACCCATAAAGTGTGTATGGAACAATTGTTTGATAATCAATTCTTCAGATTAACTTAAATCAATAACGGCACACTTGAATTTTCCCTGCAAAATTTGTCTAAACACACACACACACACTCTGAATGCTTCAACTTCTTATCTTTCCGTTTGATGTCTATTTAGGGGACAGTGTCTCAGTAAAATGATATTCTTCAGCTTTAAGACAAGGGTGAAACCTTACTCTCTTCCCTCCTTGAAACTTGACTAACAAGATAAGAGAAGAAAAGAATAGATTAGAAAAGAAAGTGAGCTAGGGGCTGCCAGTCCCATAAAAAGACCGCCTACCTGAGCCAGAGGGAGAAAAACACATCAAACGTAAATGCCACGTTTTAATAGAGGTAGGTTTTCAAATGGCAGGCAGATAATACTACAGTGTGAGGTAACGGCAAAATAAAAACACTTTCTGCTTCAGTAAGCTAGCAGACGCCACGACAAGACGAACCACTCTAACCAGCCAGACCAGGTATGTTTGACTGCAGTACGTTAAGAGTGAAACATTGTTTGGGGAGTTGTAAAGGTAGCTCAAACAGGAAGTTAAGGGAGACCTAGCAGGATATAACAGTGTGTTTATTCAATGCTCAGGACAGGGCAAGAGAATCGAACATACAGTGTGAACACAGGAACATGCAATATGCTCAACAACTAATATGAACATATCAATCAGCACAAACCTGAGCAGCACATTTAGACTATTTTATGTGAAACAATTTACATCTGTTCATTTGGGAGTCTGGAAAATAAGACAGCCTCCCAGAGCTAAATGATGTGCTGACTACAGATCTCTGCAAGACCCAATTGCAGCACGCTATCAATACTGTCATAAATTTAGGTAAACTGAAAAAGAAATGCAGCAGTGAGAACATATTTTATACACAATACAGTGAGTCTTAGCTAGTTAATAAAGCTCAGCAACCAAGCCAAGCTAATGATTTGTACCAAATCAAATTGGAAAGAAGGATAGGTCAAGCCTTCTGAACGCAGGTTAGTTGTAACATTATGACCACTGATGACAAAGTGAAGAACACCACTCAAATTCTTAAGAGGTTCTGCTGGGAAGGTCTATGTCCTGGTATTCACAGGAATGTTACTTTTGATAAACTACCTTGATGTAGATACCTAAACAATTCTGTTTTCCAGTCTAACTCTTAAAATACATTAACACCACTTTATCCCTCCCCTAGCAGGACAGCAGGAGGTCTGGCTAATAACAGCTTAAGAACGGCTTAAAGAAGACAACATAGCTGTTTTCAAACATGCACCAAAGTCTTGAAAAGTTGCAGCAACGTGGTCTGTCAGCTGCATTCGCTGAAGGCTTCAACTTATTTTTATATCACCTAAAATAAATCAACTCTTGGAAGAATAATAGTCACATCACGTTTAGTGAATGAGAAAAAGAGTGTGTACGATAAGGTCCAATAATAACTATGATGAACTTCATATCAAGGAGAACAAGTGAAAGAAAAGCTAAAGTGGTGAGATCTGTCCCCTCACTGTATTCTAAGGTTGCAGGTGACCCTAAATTGACCTTATTATGTTTACAGCTGTGATTCTTGTTGTTGTGCTGCTAACTTGACCCCTTGTAGACTGAGACTTATGTTGGGTCAACCCAGCAAACTGGATGTCAACTAGTATTTTTACCACTGCTTCAAAGTCCCACCAACAAATTATACAAGACAGCCTTTTTGCATGATATCCTTTATCTAGAAAGAAAGCAAAACTGATTGCACTTTCCAAAGAAATTTGAAGAAAAATAACTTAATCTGACAGCTTCAGAACACCAAAGATAAAGCTTTTCAATATTCTCTTTTTAAATAATAAGTAAAAAAAAATAGTGATGTAATAAAAATCTTATCTCTATAATAAGATAACATTTGTAACCAAAAAGAGGACGAGATGAAGCAAGAATAATTAGCTGTTTCGTTGGTTTTTTGGGGACTTTCCTGATATGGAACCATTACTTTCATGTATGAACAGTTTTTTTTTTTTTAATAAACCTTCATAGTTACCTCCCTCCCTCTAGTCTGAGCTCTGGTGTGATGCTGCTGTGCTTTAACAGGAAAGAAGAAGAGGAAACGAGATGATCTCAAGTGGGAGGAATGCTGCTGTTTAGCAATCCTCAGGACGTGGTCATGGATTGCTTGGAGGTCCTAAACACTGATGAACACCAATAAAAGCTCAGGGTGTGCTGACAACATCGTGAATTTTTAAACCCATTTTCTCACACTTTTTTTCCCTCTCACTTCACTACTATCTTATACATTAAGTTTGTAAAAAAAAAAAATCACTTTTGATCATTTTGATTAGAAGTTGAAAAGACACCAATGCATACTAAAGTATCAAGATTTCCCAATCTAAAACAAATACATTTAACAAACTTTTCTTAATCATACAGCCTGATTCATTCTGAAAGCTTTTTATGTGGAGACGTGATTGCTGTGTTTATAAATATGCATTTTTGTTCACGTGGTAAGTAAAAATAAAATTCTTTGCTGCTCTGAAATCGCCTTTATATAGTTCAGAAGAATCCAGTGGAAAGATGATGATTATATGCACACTTCTCCAGCGGATGGCAAAAATCGGCTTAAACTGGAAACACAAAAAACAAAAACAAATTAAACCACAATAAAGAAGAAGTGTGAAATATGATAAGGAACAAAAGCAAAAGGCCAACATCATTGGTTAGACAACCACAGCACGATTCTCTGTGCCAGCTGAGCACAAACATCTGCTACATTCTGTTATTTCGGTCATCTTAGTGATTTGCTTCAGCTTTTGTTAGGCATCACAATTATCTCATACGAATTTCCCTTTTGTCTGCATGAATATTTGTAGGACAGTAAAATGCTGATGTCATTATGACTCTACGTCAAAGTTGTTTCATTGCAAACAGGTAGATGTAATCCAGTGACAACTTTTTCATTACAAACTTGCTTAGATGGAACCACTAAAATATATTTTTTCTATAGTTGGATGGGGAAATCATGATCTGAAGTCTGTTTTTGCTATGCACCCTAAGCAGAAAGACCTCAACACTGTTTATTTATTGCAACTCGTGTCATCATAGCTTTCACCAACATTATCACACATGCATGTTTTTCTAATATCATCTTGCTCTACTCCGTTGTCTACCTCTGGTAAAAAAACTAATCAGTTTTGTGCAACTTCTATGTTCTGAAGTTTCAACACGTGTTGCTTTTTTAGTTTCTGAATTGTGTCACATTCTCATTCTGTGTCTCTCCCTTAATGGAAATTTGTCATGTTGAAACTGAGACTGCAGTTGAATCTTCTACTAAAGAGTGAGATCATCATCAGTCAGGAAACCAAAATGTTCGGTTACTGTTGAATAGGCCCCTTATAGATCACCGTTGTGTGTTCAACACTCAACCACTAACCCCTGCGCTGCAGATCGTTTTGTCAATCACGAATGACAAAGTGATAGATCACATGGTTGTGTGAACTTTCAGATCAAGATCAAGATCAAGATTGTGGACTCAAAGTGTTGAGGGCAATAACTCAACAGCTCGGACATGAGAATGTGCAATAAGAGTTGCTTTGGGCATTTCCCCAACAATACACAAAAGCCGACAAAGCAAATAAAGCCAAACTATTAAGTGAAATTTGGGTGCTATTAGTCAATCATTTGCTAAACAACAGCACAACCTTTGCTAAGCACCAGTTCTGGGTATTTGCCTTTGGTTTTTCTAATATCCAGCAGTCTACAGCCCATAGGCTTGATTTAAAACAATGCTTCTTCCAGCTGCTGAGACTCAGGTTAGAGGACGCTCCTAATACTGCCCGAGTGCTACACATCTGAGGCTCAAATGCGACTTGAAATGCAAAAACAAAACTGGTGAACTAGACTGAAGGATGGTAGGCAGTTCAGATTTTTGTTTCAGCTCAGCCCTTAGCAAAGAGTCATTTCCACACGTGTATCCACTGTGTCTTTTGTAGAGTTGCTGTTCGCCATCATTCCTCAAGACTTATTCATGTTGCAGAAGCTGCTCTAACCATGCTTCTTTCAAAAAAATATTTAACAAATATTACTCTGCTCCTACAACAACCAACACAGTTATTGGGAAGTGTGGATGAAGGAAAAATTAGTCAGAGATGCGAAACACTGACATAGTTGAGTCAGAACATGAAAGACCGAGCAACAAGCCAAAAATGAATAAACATTTACCTTACATCCAAAACATATTCTCAAAAGCTCACTTTATGTCATCATACTGACAATACAAACGGGGGGAAAAAATAGTTGATAGGCAACATTTACCCAACCGATATTCATAAGTCCAACAAATGACAATAGCAATGTAATGTTTGGACCATTGTTTAGGGAGGTGGAACAATGTTAACATGCAGGGACTGATTTGCCAATTTAGAACACAGAGGTCCAAATATGTAGTTATTAGTTCCCCAAAAATACAAAGTATCCCATTTGGGATTACTTTGATTTTAAATGGGATGAAAAGATAAACCACAAGATGTAAACAAAGCAGTTTTGTACTTGTGCAGTTTCAACAAACGTGACAAACTTGCAACTTCGCATTTACCATCCGGCTGATTACGCTATGCAATCACCAGGTATTGCAGCTCCATCAGCAAGCTCTGAATAAGCTTTTCACCAGCAGAAATATAGGTAAAAACAAAAAGGACAGCCCCGGACACAGCGCACGTTGAATGTAAATATCTTGCAGAGAAAAATTAATTCCAAATGAAGTCCTAAATTGCTGGAAAACATACATATCGGCCAAAATCACACCTTCTAGACTCACAACTAAAAATAACCACCTGAGCACACTGCTAAATCCAAATAACGATAAACATGGTTGTTTTTCTTGTCAGAGCATTTCTATGCTTTATCCAGAAGAAATAGCTTATTATCCTTTCTTCTGCTTATGCTAGTTTTATTGTGTTTCTGTCATTGATTACCTGTGAATGCACCAAATATCTCAAAAACAGTTATAACTGTAATTATACGGAAGAACATATGTTCACTTAATGTTTTTGTTTTAGTTGTTTACTGTTTTATTCTTGTATTTAAATGCATAAATGTTAAATAATAAATAGTTTCCCCGTTAGCTGAGCATGAATGTTAGCAAATTCAAGTAGTTTTCCAAGTTGAAAAAATAAAAAAAAGTGTTAGTTTGGGTGTGCCTTTATTCTGACTACAGACGAATACAGAGCCAGAACTGAGAAAGTTTCAATAGCCCATTAACGTCAACTCTTTAGCATACAGGTTTGTAGAGCTATTGTTCCTTAGATGAGGGTTCACACCTGCCCTCATTTTGGGGGTGGGTGGGGAGGTTGACCTCTTTCTGGGTAAAACTGGTTGGCAAATAATATTAAACCAGATGATGATGCAACAATATGCGACGTCTGTTGTAAGAGGGAAAAAAAAGACATTCTTCCTACATCAATATCAGAATTTTAAAAAGGCATGCATAAAATGACTGCACAAGTATAAGAGTAGCAATCAAAGGAGCAATAAGGACACACATTCAATAAAACACACTCAATAAGATATTCTAGGGCTCCATAAGTCCTCTGAAGCACATGGTACCCAAATGCAAACCCACATATGTACTAAAAATAAATGTTCAGTCTTATCAAACAACTCCAAGCCATAACAGTCTTGTGTTGCAGTACTTTGTTTTCTTTCCCTACCTGCAGCACAGAGCTCAGAGTGGTCACTCAGCATAAAGCAATGTAGCAACTCAGTCAGTGTTGAAGATGAAAACTGTAATCTAAGCCTCTGTTTAGCCGTAGAATCAACAAACTAAATCCAGGGCCATTTAGACCCAAAGTCGAACAAGAATGAGCTGTAATGTGTTGTTCCCTAATCAAAACTAATCAGGAAACCAGACCTGGGCAGGTCTGTAAATGTTACTGTTTAAAAGTTAACTGGATCATCATCACAGTGTTTTATTTCCCTCCTTTCAGGAAGCAGGTAAAACTCCTCAGCTCTCCCAGACAGACAGCTACCTTACAGCTACAAGAACTTTGCCTCCACAAAGCCCAACCCCCCTTTGTGAAAGCACAACAACTTCCCATCAACCTTGGAGGAAGTGATGCAATGCAAGTCTCTGCCTCTCTGATTTGCACTTGAAAGTTAACATGAAAATGCAGATCAGATGCTCAGACACAGTGCAACTTTCTCCTACCTGAGTCAGAATCTTTCTGGTCTCCATTTGCTCCGGCAGTGAAGGGTAGCTTCCTTTTAGGGGCCTTTTCTTTCATCTCTTTGACCCCATCACTGCGATCCAATTTGGGAGTTTTATTTGTCAACACTTTATCCTGCAAAAGAGACAAAATAAATTACTAAGACTTCTTTAAACAGCATAGAGAACATGTGCACAGATGAAGCAAAGGGAAGGCGATTTCAACTCCTGCATATCTGTTAAGAGTAAAACTTAAAATAGACCACAGCAATCTGTGGTTCCTGCAGTCTACTTAATTTTCAGTGCCTTTTTCTGCACCGACTTTTCCAACCTCTGTGGGGTTTTCAAACCATTTTTCCATGAAGTTCTTTCCTAGATTACCTCCCCACAGTCACAAAAAAGAAAAGAAAAAAAAAAAACAAAAAAAAACATGGGGATAAGAGGCCAAGCTGACGCCTGCTCGGTTCTGTGGCCTAAGGCTGCTGGAAACAATCACGGCACCAAACTTATCAGCCATCAACAGATGTAGATACCTTCATGTGCTTCCAACCTGTGCTGCCGTGTTTTAATAGTTTGGATCAAAAAAACAGGAGGATCAGAACATTTGTGGTTAACCATCTCTTCCTGCATCGTGGCACATGGCACAATGCAAAGTACAACAGCGGATTAAAAGTTAACAGCTATGAAATGTTTTAAAGCTTGTATTTAAAACAATGCGTGTCACCAGGCTGCTTCCTGGTGAAGTGAAAGAGGATGTACTAAACAAGCACAAATAAACCAAATTAAACCCCACTTTTCAGCTACTCATTTTCATTCAAACTCAAACATCTTCATATTTTCTCTCAGCAATAACTTGCAGATATGTGTTAGATAAGTCCTAATCTTGCAAGGAGACACGGCAGGCCGGCTGCACCACTGTTTGCATCAAAATCATGTGCAAAAACAAAGGCAGGGAAAAGTTGGGGTCTGATCTGCTGCTGAGGACACAAAGCTAGCCACAATGTTGAATCAGTTTCTCTGAATAAAGAGGAAGAGAACACATACAGCACAATACTCACTGTTGTCACTGACCCGATTCTACAACTCCATCTAGATATGTGAGCAAATTCGTAAGCCTGCTGAACAGCTTCTGCTTTGTCTGGTTTTTGACTTACTAAACAGAATCAGTGGCAACTTATTGAGGATGTTTTTTGTTTTTTTTTCCTTCCAAGTTAGAAAGATATTAAGGCTTCTTTCTGTCATATTCGTCAATTATTGCACAATCTCAATGAGTGGTATTTTACTTATTTAAAATCTGTTAAGAAAACATAATTGCTTCATAAGGAATCTTTGTTTTTCTTAAAATATTTTCTTTAAACCCCAGAACTGTTGCTCATAGATTACAAAACTACTACGCAAGGTAGTATTTTAGTTTTGTATAACATTCAGCTGTGCATTTATTTTATTTAGTTGTTTTTTTTCCCTAGTACTTTGGTCAAAACAATTCTATTTTTGTTTTTATTTTCCAATTGCTATCATCAGTGCAAAATTACTGTTTGAAACATCACAATCATAAATGACTATTTGGATCAAATTTTTGATTGAATATCATATTTCAGGTGACATTCATTATTGAAATATAGCATGCAAGTGTATTTTGCCCAGTTGGATGGTTTCAAATTGCATTTGAAACACTATGTATATTGAGTGAGATGGTAAAGTGCAGAAAAAAGCGGGGAAATTGTAATGATGAAAGTTAAGAGTCAAGACAATGTGGTTTAATTGTAATCTACATCGCCGTCACAATATTTAGCGAGGTTTACACCTTTTGCTAAAATCGAACAGCTCAACATGAGAGCCACAGAATTACTGCACCTACTGAAATGTAGCTTTTGATTCACTTCTAATACGAAGCTTGCAGTTCCTAAGCTGACCCATCAGAACATACCGTACTCAACTACTTGAGAGGGGTGTAGCCTCTCCAGCTTTTGTTTTTAAAGGAAATGCACAAATATGCAGAAGCAATTAGCACCTTCCAGGCTGGGTCCTAGGAAGATTAAATGACCTTTAATCAGAGACACTTTAAATACACCCTTCGCTGCCAAGTTTGTGGAAAACAGAACCTTCAAGAGCAAGTTGAAAACAAATATGATGTTAGAAAATGTAACGGATCTGCCAGTCTTCTGGCAAATATATTATAATCACAATCATTACTGAAAAATTATGATATGACACATTTAAGGAAATCAACTAAAGGAAATAAACTTTAAGACATTGACTAGAAGAAGTCCAAATGAAACCTTTGCTGTTTTGGAGACATGAGAGAAATAGTTACAAAGCTTATAAATATCTGTAGCTGTTTTGCTACATGGTGAAGATATTTTTGTCCAAGAGGTTTAGGATCATGACGAAGACACACGCACACACTCAATTCAGCTTAATTTCCTGTCCTACCTTCTCTTCTCATTCATCTTTAACCCAAGGCTGGATTTTCTATTATGTGTCAACTCTTCAAGCCCCTCCCACTGTCCTGCCCTGCCCCAGTCATAAGACCATGACGTCATGGTACAGTAGAGACAAACACTGTCTGCTACAGTGAACTAATCTCTCAGTCTACACTCAGCTATACAAAGGCTTCTGCACCAGCACACATAAAATAAGCAAAAGCATGACGGAGATAACTGAGCAAAAGCTACATGCGAGCTGAGAGGACAGCTA